TTGCTAATTAAAACCAATGGCCACACACTACTTAAGTGGTCAAGAAGTATTCTGTGTCCTTCGTGACTCTCCTAATGTGTGCCCATTTGCATAGAGAAGGGTCGCAATATTCCACTTACGCCTTTTTCACATATCAGAAGTTCTTATTTCCTAGGTTTTTGGCCATATTTTTTTAACCCCCTCACCAAAGTCAACTATTTCCCTAAACCTCATACCACACATGATTTACCCCAAACAGTCAAATAGGTGCACACGTATTCATTTTCTTGTCTGCAAAATTTACACTCAACGTTATGTGGCTTCCTCCTCTTGTATTTGCCATTTGCTTACCTTCATCATTGTCATTTCTGTCTTCCTTCTCCACTTACATACTTTCAGGCACCTTACTCTCTTTTATTCCAAGGCCAATACATCAAATTAACTTCAAAACAAAAATGCCCACTCCACCATTTTTCCTGTAACTCTTCATTATAAATTTTAATTTACCATATTCATAGTTGCTTTAAAATCCCACAAATAATGAATACACATAACTTTAGAATGATTTGTTCTTTCCTTTTGCTATAATGTATCCCAATTGCTTTTTTTTTTTTTTTTTTTTAACTTGTTACGATTTTGCGAAGACAAATAACTCAGGCGTTGAGACGATGCAAGTGTATACCGTTGATGCTTAAGGAAACTTGCTCTATTAAAAATGTGCTGCAGCAACTTATATTTAACAGAGAATGATAACATCGACATGTATTCATTTATTTATTTATCACCCCATTAAAATTGGATAGGGATACCACATCGACCGATGTCCCTATCGTTTATTTATGATGAGGACACTATGAGGGAGCTCAAATTCCTAACTTTTTCTCTCTCAATCATCTATGGCAGAAGGTGCCTTTCAGCCCCTCTACTTAAATTGTTGTGGCATATTAGCCTCTCTAATTAAAAGTTAGGCAAATCAACCCTTCTACTCTACCAAACCTGCAAATTAGCCTTTTTGCTGATGATAACATCATACACCATCCACTTTCCATCTGCCTTTCTATTGTTCCGTTAATTAGGGATGAGTTGGCAAGGACTTGGATGAAGAAGAAGGAATTAATCATTTAAAATATTTATTAAATCATAGTATTTGCAAATTACATAAAATCCATCCAGCATCAACTTCTTCCCCAATTCTTCTTGATCCGTTTTCTCGATCCTCTCCCATCAACTCCAGTTCTAAATACTAGTAAGATAATTACCTAACACACTTTTCATCTTTTTAAACACAGCTTATAAGAGCAAACAATGTTACCCACTGCATCACATATAATTACATACTCACCTCATTACTCAATATTTCATTTTTTCCTGAAACTAGCATTTAGTCACACTGTGTACACACTAAGCATGGTTCAATTTTTTCAATCTTATTTGCCAAACCAGGATCCTCACTTTTCCTCCTTTTTTTTTCCCCTTAAACTATTAGTGCATGACCGCATCTTCATCTCTGCTATACTAACCATGTATCACTGATTCATTGATAGGACCAATGACTATTGTTAGGACTCTGTTCTTCCCAGCATGGTGCAAGGACATGCACATTATAGTTATTTCATTTCAATAACAACAAACTACCTTCATATGAAAAATACCTCTCAATAATATATATAGTGTAGTGGACATTACAACTAAATCATGCACTTTTCCTCCACCACCACAACCCGTTGTTGCACATTGGTTGTCAAGCAGCACCGCTTTAGCACTGGGGTCACAATGCTTGCCAAAACCCTAAACTTTATTTAACATTCAGTAAACATCAATAATGGATTACTGTCTAATTCAAATCACCTTCAAAAACTCCATGCTTTTTTCATAACAAAATTAAAAAAGAATTTTACACCAATAACTTAAATTATGTGTCTATGCTATGGCTATCACCATAAACACTCCTCACCTGAGATGCCCAACAAACAATCGACTCTTATCTGTAGAAAATCGCAATCCAATGATGAATCTCCATGGCTCTATTGCATCCTTTCTTGCACCTAATCCTTTATCTCTGCCAATCAAAGTATCACATCATAAAGGACGATGTCGAATTAGAGCGGTTGAGGGTTACAGGTGGTATCTGTTTGGATGCATAAATAAGCTCTACTTGGATGCATAAATAGGCCAAACTAGTGTGGATGGCTACAGCCTGCAAGCTATAACAAGATGTTATTTTACGGAGTTAAATGTTATTTTATGGGGTGTGCACTCGCTCAGTGTCGAACCGACAGGTGGACATATCATAATCCAAAAAAAACTACCATAGGATTTTTTCTTTCTTTATTTCTTTCGTTCTTTCTACATTAGAAAGTTATTTGGTATTACAAAGGTTTAAATATCTGATATTAACAATAAATCAAAGTTTTAAGTTAATAAATATTAACTTGACCAAATTTTTATTGGTAACACATGCTAGTTTTTTTTTCCAACTAACGAGACACCACATTCTACAAACAAACTAAATAGCAAACTTGTAATTTTCTTTTAGTAGAAGGGAGAGATTTTAAGTTTGAATTGCATAACATATAAGTAGGATGTGTTAAAAGATGTGAGAAGGTTATTTCCTATCATGCAACTTGATAAAAAGAAAAATACCACATTCTACTATGTGATTCAATTTGTGCCATAACTGTAAACCACATAAGCAAATTTATTTTGTAGATCAATTTTAAGATTTAGGTTTAT